CTACAGGTCCCCCCTACAGGTCTCCCCCACAGGTCTCTGCACAGGTCCCCCATGGGTCCCCCACTGCAGGCCCCTCCCACAGGTCTCCCCCACAGGTCTTCCCCGCAGGTCCCTGCACAGGTCTCCCCCGGTCCCCCACTGCAGGCCCCTCCTACAGGCCTCCCCCGCAGGCCCCCCACAGGTCCCACAATGAAGGTCCCTCCCACACCACAGGTCCCTCCCCACAGGTCCCCCCCACAGGTCCCCCACCACATCCACCACATTGCTGTCACTCTTTGCCATCCAGGCCACCACCCCTTACCTAGATGGCCATTCAGCCTCTGGAGCTGTCCCTGACTACCCCTTGGCCACTATGGGGACGATGACCATGCAGTGCCCAGGCCGAGTCCCCATAAATCTGTGCCCTCGAGGATGGTGCCTTGGAAGCCCGCTCCAGAGGTAACAAGCCCTGAACACCAGGCCGACCGCTGGTGCCGCGCGGGGAGGTGCCCCACAGCCCCAGTCAGGACCCCAGCACCTGAGGCTGCAGGTCTTTCTAGAAGCTCAGGGTCTTGTCTTCCTCCTGCGGAGCAGGTGGGTTTAGACTCCAGACCTCTCACCTGGAGGCCCAGTGCTTCAAACACCGTGACACTAGGAATCTTCAGAGGGGAGGAGACCTGCCCAGACTCTGAGGTCACAGGGGTGCAGGGCGCCCAGGCAGTCTCTCCTGAGGCCGGGGCCCGTCTGTGCCGGCTGGCCCTCCCAGCCTGGCCTCCCTGGCAGCACTGGAGCCTCTATTTTTAGCCCCAGCCCGCCCTGACCAGCTGGCCCCCATGCTCGGGAGAGCTCGCGGGTCTGCACCTCTCTGAGTCTCTCTTACTCTCTGCCCCCATCTGTCTACTTTGTCTCTTTGTGTCTCTCCTTCTCTGTCTCTTTTTGTCTCTAATTCTGTATCTCTCGGTCTCTCCCTCCTTCCCCACCCTGTGTCTGTCTGTCTCTCTCTCTCTGACCCTCATGCTGTCTCTTTCTGTCTCTCTCCCCCTCTCTGTGTGGGTTTGTGAGTCTGTGTGTATGTGTATCTCCCTCTGTGTGTGTGTGTCTATGCATGTCTCCCTCTCTCTCTCCCTCTGTGTATGTGTGTCTCTGTGTGTGTGTGTGTGTGTGTGCGCGCGCGCGTGTATCTCCCTCTCTCTCTCCCTCTGTGTGTATGTGTGTCTCCTGTCTGTCTGTGTGTGTGTCTACGTGTGTCGTCCCCCCCCCGTGTGTATGTGTGTCTCCCCATCTGTCTGTCTGTGTGTGTGTGTCTCCCCATCTCTCTTCCTTCTGTGTGTGTGTCTCCCCATCTCTGTGTGTGTGTGTGTGTGTGTGTGTGTGTGTGTGTGTGTCCCTCTCTCTCTCTTTCTCCCTCCCGGTCTCTCTCTGTGCAGGCATCATTGGAAGCCCTGTGAGGACAGCCCCCCGGCAGTAGTGCAAGTCCACACAGAGGCAGTGCAGTGGAAGGCACACTCAGTGGGTGCCGGTGTCTCATTGGCAAACCTCAAGAGCTATCACTTGGGGGGAGCCCTGCAGACACCTCCTTTCATGGGTACCTGCTTGAGGCACCATGATGGCAAGACCTCCTCTCATGTTAAATGGACATATTATGAAGAGGGCCGGTTGGAGAAGGACCCCATGCCTGGAAAAGTAGAGAGTCAGCAACTAGAAAGATGACAGATGGGCTGCCACCGTGCCCTCCGCACGGAGCACTGACGGAGCTCGGTGTTCCCATCTGTCCCACGTGGGCCTCCCTGGGGCACGTGTCCAACTGTCCCACGTGGGCCTCCCTGGGGCGCGTGTCCAACTGTCCCACGTGGGCCGCCCTGGTGTGCGTGGGTCCTGAATCAGCCCCTGCAGGGCAGTGGACCCCCACCCCCACTGTGGAGGGGGTGGCCGCCTGGCACTGGCACGGATCCTTGGGCGGCAGGTCGTGTTGGGACATGCATGCCTCACAGGGGCCGCACCTGAGCGACGAAGGTGCCTGTGTCCACACAGGGACTGTAATGTTGCCAGAAGACAGATGCCACCAGGCTTGTCTCAGAAGAACGCAGGTGCCTTTACTGCTGCAAGGAAGGAACCTCTTCCACCTGAGGGCCCCCCACCTCCCCAGTCACTCCCGCCCCCGCTGCCCTGGGATTATGGGCAGGAGTCGGGCTCTGTTGTCTGCTGTGGCCCTCAGCCGCCCATCGTCTCACATCTGAGGTGAAGGATGGGCCCTGCACTGCCTCAGCACTTTTTAAGGGTCTCCATTCAGGGGTCTTCCCTGCTCCACTCCTTTCTCTCACCCAAGGATGTCCAAAGGGGCCCCCCTGGTCCCTGAGGGAAACCATATCTGAGAAAAATGCCCCTGGTTCAGGGACCCTGCTCCGAGGGTCCCTGCCTTAATGGAGCTTCATCGCCTCCACTGCCCAGTGCCTCGGGGCTGTGCTCACTTCACACTTAGGGCCTCACTAGTCCACCCAGTGTCGTCCCCTAGGGCCTCACAGGGACACAAGCAGAGTGGCCCTGGCTGGGGTCACCTGAACACCAGCTTCCTGCTCAACGCCCCTGTGCCCAGCCCGGCTCCACCCTCTATAGATCCCGTAAGTGTCAGACCGCACTTCCACTGCTTGGTCAGCCAGCTGGCCTCTGTTGCTGTAACCAGGACTCGTCCTCAAGCCAGTTAGGTGAACTGGACACTGCCTCTGCCCAGGGCTTCAGAGTCTCCTGTTCCACACTGCATTCTAGTGCTCGGCTGTGGAATCCATCGGTCTAACTCCCCACCTGTCTACTCACTCACCCATCCATCTGTCTACTGTCTACTCGCTTATCTACTAACCTTCCCACGCACTCACTTGTCTGTCCATATACCCACTCACCCTTTGCCACTCACCCATCCACCCACTCACTCACCCTTACTCTATCCACACATCCATCTGTCCACCCATCCACCCATACACCCATCCATCCATCCA